CTCTTAAATACATAGTTTTAAAGTATTCTCTTTGAAGAAAAATGGGAAGAAGCATAAAGTGCTTCTGCAGGGCACCGAGGGCTGATGGTATAGTCTTGAAGCAAAGCCCTCGTTCAGTTATTTTAGTTGAGAGCTAAACTGCCCACCTTCCATGGCACACCATTTTTACTTGAATTATTGGCAAACTATGGTTTTTTAGATATTCAGGTATAGATATTTGCAGGATTTCTTGAAAGTGATAAAATTTGAGCTTTAAACAAAAATTAGCACTTTAGAAAACTTGTATCTACCATTATAAACTTGATTATTGCCCAATAATTAAAGACATTTTTTGCTGAGGTTGGGGGTGATAATAATAAATATGGGTGTGTTTTTTATATGTTCTATAATAAAATGTGAAATGTCAATACCTGGGAGATATGCATAACTCAGCAAAGCATTATGGTATGAAAGCTTGTTTCATTGAGGAAATACCAGAAAATGACAGGAATATTAGGATAGGTATCGAAGTAACAGCAAGAGGCAGCCTCTGGGCAGGTGTACGGTGTATATCAAGCAGATATTAGCAGCTAGTGTGGTCCAAGAGACCAAGCCTGGGACAGGAGATAAGGTAACCATAACAAAGACTGACTAGGTGGGAAGAACTAGGGTTCAAGGGGAGCACCCCATCTTTGAAAAATGCATATATCTGATCTGATCAGAACTGGAGTAAGAGGAGGAACAGGACTTGGGAGAAAAGCAAAAGGCTACCATTCCTGAATTCCTTAGGCCTTATTAGCCTATAAGTTCCACTGCAGTCATATGAACAGTAACATGAGAAGTTTACAGTGTGTTAACCACATCTGTTACTCAGAACCCGGCCCCCTGCAGAGTCCGGAGTCCCTCCAAGTATTTCTGAGCATTGTGCGGCAACCACATGCGTTGGCAGCAAGTTCACTTTCGTGTTATGTTGTATTGTTTCTGAAGATCACGTTGTTGCTCCTTCTCTGCTTCAGTAGTTCTGTGGTTGCTGCCCCCATGTCCTCAGTGTGTTAAGCCATGTGGTGTATGCTGCCCCAAATTGTTTAGACCCCATCAGAAAACACTTTTCAGTTGTTTACTTAAACTGTCCCCTCTCTTCCTAAAACCTGTACTAATGTGTTAGGTGCTGAGTTGGGGATGGATTTGATTTAGCAGCCAACAGCCATGCTATATTCCATTCAAGGGCTACCATTTTGTTAGTGGTTTCCTTTGCCATGTTTAACCTCTTCTTTTAATATAAGTTCTCTGACAGAAGACACTTCAGCTCTCTTATAAATATATCACTATTGGGAAACTTACACTTCTCATTTCAAGCTCAGTTATGTATAGACATAGTTTTATTTCTTCCCTTGACCTTCTCAGATCCCTTGCAAAAGGACTTCTATTTGGTTTGTCCCACTAGTTTGCCAGACATACTTAACACTTGGTTTTGGGGGGGGGAAATTTGTAAATGGAACTCTCTGCCAGATCTTGTTAATTTGATGACAACAATTGTTCAGTGCCTTTTTTGGTACCAGATACAGTGTTTGATTGTAAGAATTCAGAGTTGAATAGAATACAGTGCTTTTTAAGAGCTCACAATGAAATTAGTAAGACACAAATTCAGTCAAGTGCAACACAACATGACCAGTGCTAACTGTACAGATGTGTTCAAAGTACTATGGGAACACAGGATGGGGAATACTTGTGTTTTACTGGGGAGCATCTGTAAAATAAAAATTTGAGCTCAGCCTTAAAGGATGGAAAATATTTCTTAACAAAGTCAGGAGAAAGGAAAATGATATTACAGGAAGAAAGAGTAGCAAATTTGAAAGAGGAAAGGCAGAGAAAGGCATGTTTAGAGAACTGCACACAGATCTGCATAGTGCTGGTTAGTGTGGCGTGTTTGTGGAGGGGACCCCAAGGCTTGAGAACCAGTGTGGAGTCAGGTATTAAAGGGTATAAATGGTCATTTAAAAAAAAAGAAGAAGAAGACAGACTGATCTTTTTACTCTCTTTGTAGAAAATATTGCAAAATTGTCATAGCAAGAGGCAAACAAAAAATATGCAGGCAGAAATATAGGGAAAAGGTATATAGGATTATACAAGTAGTCAGGAAAATTAATTGGTAAAAATTTTATGACTAAGATTTTGAGTTTTTAATGTATGTGGTAAACTTTTTTTTTTTTTTTTAACTTTTACTTTGAGGTAGTTGTAGATTCAATTGTGAATTATGGATTCTCAGAAAGACCCTGTATATGCTTCAGACCATCGACTTTATTCTGATTTCACCAGTTGCATGCACTAACTTGTGTGTGTATTTATGTCTATGTAATTTTATCACATGTATAAATCCTTGTGAGCATCACCATAATCAGATACAGAATAGTTCCATCACAAGAATCCCTTGTGCCACCTAAAGGACATTTTGTGACATAGTAAGGAGCTTAGACTACGTTCTGGAGGTTGGTGTCTGAGTCTCAAAGTGTAGTCTTCAGATCACCTGGAACAGAATCACCTACTGTGCTTGTTAAATATGCAGATTCCTAAACTAGACAGGTTGACTCAGAATCTCTGTGAATATGGCCCTGTGACCTACATTTAAATAAACTTCTCACATGCTTCTTGTACCATACCTGTGAGGAGATGAACTCGAGCTGACATCCGAATGATGAGAAGGAAGCCCACCATTCAGAGACCTGGGGCACAGAAGTCTAGACAAGTACTGTCCCGACAGAGTATAATACAAGTAATATATGTAATTTTGGAAATTCTGGGAGCCACATTTTAAACGTTTTTAAAAAGGAAATTAATTTTTACACTCTATTTTGCTTAACTCTATATATTGAAAATAGTATATCAGTATGAAATTAATATAAAAACCATTGAGATATTTAGCATTCTTTGTTTTTCTGCTAAGTATTCAAAACTCATTGTGTATGTTATAGTTGCTGCACATCCTGGTTCCGATGAGCTACATTTCAGGGGTTTAGTAACACATCTGCTGAGTGGCTGTCATGGAGGGCAGCAAGATCTAGACAAAGTGAATAGCCAGTACAATGACCCTGAGGGAGAGCAGTGTAGAGATGTGCATTTAGCATCTGGAAATGGAAATACTGGTCTAGAGCTTTGGAATAAGATCACAAGTAGATATATAGACTGACAAGTCCTTTATATAAAATAGTTGTCACACCGAGTATAATTTTCAGTGATTTGCAGTGAAGACCTATTAGAATCACCTGCAGGGCTTTTTCTAACTACATGCTTGCACTCCAAGAGGGCATGGGAAAACCTGGGGGTGGGAATAGAAATGCGGAAGTACGTGTGGCTCTTGGGAACATAGGCAGACATTGAGTTTCTCCATCACTGATTCTGATATGACCCCTCCCTGCAGTTCCCACTCCTGGCGGAGAACCACTAGTGGGTGAAAGGGAGATGAGGCTGGAGAATGCTAAGGAAACAGAGGTAAAAGGAGTGCAAAAGAAGTCAGGTAAGGGAGGGGCTTCAGTACTGAAGCCAGCGGAGGTCAGAACATTTGCAAATTAAGATACTGATATGGTGAACATACAGTACAATGTTCAGATGATGTGTTGTAGAATTGTACACCTAAAACCTGTATAATTTTGTTAACTGTGTCACCCCAATAAATACAATGCAAATAAAACATTTTAAGATATTATTGATAATCATTGAGGACAAAGTTTCAATAGAGTGGTCAACTGGGCTAAGGTGGGTCCTGCAGATGTTAGTGGAGACAGAATGCTACCTAGCAACCTGAAGGTCAGAGCTAGATTGTCTACAGAAGAGGCACGCTGTGTCTCTCTAGTCAGAGTTCCTTAAATCCTTCCTTTAAGTTTGGTTAAGGTCAATCTGTGTTTCCTCTTATAGTCCTTATAGCTGTTGCATTTCAGTTCATTGTTTGTGTAGTATATCTCTGTCCTCACCCTGACCACACTGTGGAACTTTTTTAATGTTCTTATTCCTAACTTCCTCCTTATCTTAGAATGAGTCAAAATTTCTAGGAGGGGGGGCCTTTGCATCACTGTTTTAAAGCTTTCTACATGATTCTAATGAGCTAGGGTGGAAAACTATTGACCCCCTATAAGCACTTCAGTGACATGAAAAAGGTTTATTCACTTTTTGTGCCCCAGAGTTTGACTCATTTTGCTGGTATATGGTTAGCTCTCGGTTAATGTTTGTTGAATGAATGAAAAATGAGAGAACAAGGCCGTGGACCCTTGTGGGTAGCCTAATAAATAAAACATTTTCTTTATACTGAATAGTTACAAAGCCAGTTATTAAATGCACTGCATCTATTTTAGAATTCTTATTAGTGTGAAACTGTTATCATGGATTGGTCTAAATCACATAATTGATATAAAATATCAAGTATGAAATAGACTCTAAAATTAGTAGATCTGTACTTTAAGTTTATTTGTTTGACTACACATACCACAAGATGTAGTATTGTTAACTGTTCCACTCGGGACAATATACAAGAGAAAAATTATTGCATTCAGTATAAGGATTTCTGCCATCAATTTAAAGGAAGTTTCCATTTTCACAAAATTAACCACAACCCAATAAATCCTATTCTACTTAACACTGTGGCTACTGAAAACATCTTACTTACATGAATATTTATACTTCTTTATTATGACTCTTTTGAAGCCACTGCAGTCACTAATTTGACTCTGCAGCAGCTGCCATTTACCACGGTTAGTAGCAGGTGGAAAGACATAAGGTTAAACTGTTCTAAAAAAATAAAATAAGCTGGTAGTTACTAACATAGTGCATCATTAGAATAATTAAATGGACTGTTCCGTCCCAGACATTGTTTGTAGAGTGCTCCTAACCTAAACCCTGGGAACTCGTAGGTGCCTCAGTAAAGGTTGATCTTCCTCTGCACCACCGCTGGCCAATGCTGTGCACAGGGTTTAGAGAATGAAGTTGGAAGTGACACAGTTGAACATTCTAACACTAAACTTATTTTCCCACAGATGAAAAGAAGTCAAGAAGTGATAACTAAAAACCATAATCAAGAAGAAATAAATGTTCTTCGGTGTTGGAAATGTAGAAAATGTATAGCAAGTTCTGGTTGTTTCATGAAGTATCTCGAGAATCAAGTAATTAAGGTCAGTCCTGCGAACTCTCTAGTTTTTAGTTTTCTAGTATGGGAATGCTGTGGGCACCCCCCCACCACCACCACACACACACATTTCCTTTCACGCCTGACTTAGCTTTACCTAATTTTATTTGACCCACTGAAAACATTTCAGAGTGCTGTTCGGAAGGCATCCCTTCCTCAGTTACAATTAATTTACCTTTAGCCACTCACATTAACATGACCTTAAAGTTTTAAGTTATAATAGACATGTTAAAGTAATAATAGTCCCTTTTTTTATTCCTACAGTGAGTGAACCTTACAGTTCAAGTCATCACCAAACAATTCAAGATTCTGTTAATAAATGGAAAACCTATTCTATTGTAAATTTTTTAAAAAATATTCAATATGGGCCTAGAAGTGAAGGTTCATGTATAATTAAAAAGTCAGTAGAAACACCTGAATAATAATCAGCAACTTTTAACTGGTTTTCCTGATAAAAATAAATGTATTTACATGTTTGTTTTTTTATTGATTTTTGAGAAAGACGAAGGGAGAGGAGGGAGAGAGAGAGAAAGAGAGAAACATCGATGTGAGAAAGAAACATCAGTTGCCTCCTGTAAGCACCCTGACTGGGAATCAAACCCGCAACCTGGGTATGTGCCCTGACCAGGAATCAAACCCACGACCTTTTGGTGTAGGAGAGAATGCTCCAGCCAACTTAGCCACACTGACCAGAGCTAAAACAAATGTTTATAAAACAACAGAAGTAAAATCCCTGAACTTCCCTGAGAGCAGTACGAAAGCGGCAGTACCAGAGAGCTGCAGCCCAGACAGAGGTCCGTGGGCTTTGCAGGGAGTTCTCGGTTCAGCAGAGGGAGTGGCTGTAATCACCTACCTTGTTTTCTTCCCCTTCTCTGAGAGACACACGGTTTGGTTTGGTTTTGCCTCGGTCACATGTGATCATGGTTATCTCCTCTCCACTCTAATGCCTTCTCATTTTCTGAGGCCATTTGTGTTTTCTGTAAATTTTTGTTGGTTTTTTCCTTCTTGCCTGTTTTTCTATTAGGTTGTTTTGTTTTTATTTTTGGAAGTTCTTTATGCATTCTAAATACTAGTCCCTTGTTGGTTATTGTCTTGGCAAATAGCTTCTGCCTGTTTATGTAACTTGTATATCTCTCTTTGTGGTCATTTTTGATGAACAGAAGTTCATAATATAATTCAGATGAATTTATTAATCATGTCCTTTATGTTTTGGACTTTTTGTTAAGAACTTCTTTTGGCCCTGGCCGGTTTGGCTCAGCGGTCAGAGCGTTGGCCTGCGGTCCTGAGAGACCCGGGTTCGGTTCCCGCTAAGGGCACGTACCTCGGTTGCAGTTTGTCCCCGGCCCTGGTCAGTCGTGCGGGTGGCAGCCACTCGATGTGTTCCTTTCACATCGATGTTTCTCTCTCTCTCTCTTCGTTCCTCTCTCTCCCTCCCACTCTATCTGAACAAAAAATGGAAAAATGTCCCCGGGTGAGAATAAAAAAAAAAAAAAAAAGAACTTCTTTTGCACCCTGAAGGGAAGATTTTTCTTTTCCTTCTGCTGATTACCAAAGTTGAGATAGGCAAGTTTCCTGCTGTGTTGTCCTGAGTAGCAAGTTTATTTCTCCTTTACCCTGACACTGTATGTAAGAGTTCCCCCTGTGGGTTTCCCTAACCTGAACAAACCCTGGACTCATTCTCCTGCATTCCACACCCTGCGCAGACACGAAATGGCTCTCAGAACATCCATGATTAGAAAGCTGGGGAACAGCATTCAGAGCTCTGGCTCCGGGACCTCACTTCATTATCCCAGTTCAGTGCCAGGAAACGGGAGTCTCACGCTCTGGCTCAGCTCCCACAAAAGTAGGAACTGGAAATCGGAGTTACTGAAACTGTTGCTGCAAAATAACCGAGTGCCTCCCAAACCTGGTTTGCCAAGAGAAACAGCACAAATACAGTCATCGCTTCTGCTTTTATAATATAGAGCAGGTGTGTTAGCTTGGTGGAAGCTAGGTCATGTGTGGAACTTGAGCTGTAAGGAAATCTGGGACATTTGAGCTTTAGTTTTCCAGCCACTGGCATGTAGTAAGGCATGTGACAAAGAATTTGGAGTGGAATTTTGAAACAGTCTACTACTTCTACAGGGAAAGAAGGGGACCCCTACCACATCTTCAAGTCTGAGATACATGAAATGTAGGCAAGAACCAAGAGCAAAAGCAAAATAACAACAAAAGCCCTACAAACATACACATAAAATAACAAAAAATGGTTTCCATTTGTGATATCTAGGGCCATGAGGAGAATGATGTCCTCAATTTTAGTTTTTTAATCAGTTTCGATTATACTTTAGGACATGTCAGATTTATGTGGACTACAAAACATTCGAATAGAGATTTTGGGGAAACTGCTTGTTCTATGCATTCAAAACAGAGATTTGAACTACATGGGAGTCATCACATATAAGTGATGAGTGATGCTGTGAGAGAAGATGAGATCAAAATAGTGTGTGTGGGGTAGCAGGAAGGATACAGTGTTATGAAGTAGGATACAGTGTTATGAAGTAGGATACAGTGTTATGAAGTAGGATACAGTGTTATGAAGTAGGATACAGTGTTATGAAGTAGGATACAGTGTTATGAAAATCAAAGGACAGATGTCTTCCAGAAGGAGATATTGGTTAGTCATTCTGAATATTGCTGGGAGATGTAGAAGACCAGACAGTATCTTCAAAATTCACGTTGTATACTACACAGTCCCAGAGGGTGCTAGTCTGTGAAAGGTGCCCCCAGATTTGTACAGAGTTGGCATGCAAACTGTACGGCCATAAGTGGAGAACCTGAATGAGAACTAAAAGTATGTAATGGTTTTAGCAAAGAGGAGGTCATTGATCGACGTTCATTGTAGTGTGAGAGTTGTAGGGACAGTTACTAGATTCCAGTTAGTTGAGGATAATGGAAATTGGGGAATAGTCCAACACTGACTGTAAAGCATTATAATTATTTGGGTTATGACTCTTTCTATAACCTGGATATGGAGTTTATTCTTATAACATTATTACCAATACAGTGATGGCCATAAATATGATAGATGAATGTTCAATTGATTATGGATCATATACTTCCTTCTTTACATTTTTTGCTGGATAGTTTGCTCATTTTTTTCTCTGGCTTTATTATCCTGCTCGTATCTTTCCTTCAATGGCTATAATGTTGAAATAAATTATATTTCATTGCTTATTACATTTTAAATATTTTATGTGACCTTTTCTTAGTGTCAGTATATATTTATTCCATACTTAGACTTACTACCTGCTAGGAACTAAATTGTGTCCTCTTTCACCCAAATTCATATGTTGAAGTCCTATCCCCCAATATGACTATATCTGGAGATAGGTCTTTAGGAGGTAATTAAGACTAATGAGGTCATAAGAATGGGACCCCAATTTGATAAGAGGCCACAGTGTCTGTCTCTCTTGCTTTCTCTCTTTTCCCCTCGCTCCCCACTCCTCTCTCCCTCTCCTCCCCCTCCCTCTCCCTCCCCTCCTTTCTCCCTTGCTACCTCCCTCCAGGTGAGGACACAGTAGTCTGCAGGCTAAGAAGAGAACTGCCACCAGAACCTGAATGTGCTGGCACTTTGATCTCAGACTGCTAGCCTCCAGAATTGTGAGGAATATGTCTGTTGTTTAAGCCACCCAGTGTATGGTATTTTGTTAGGGTAGACCAAGCAGACCAAGTCACAACAGGTCCTGTAATAGGCCCTGGAAATTCAAAGAACAGAAGAGATATATTCCGTCCTTGTGAAGCTTTCAGGACAGTGGTCAATCATAAATATTAAGTTTTAGCTGTTTAGGTGGCAAAAAAGAAAGCGTGGGAACCATAAGAATAGGATATAGGCAGAGGGTTGGACTTAGTGTGGGGGAGGATTTTCTGAGGAAGAGACTTGTGTAGAGATAAGGTAGATGAGAAGCAAGGACGGTACATGGTGGAAAAACATTCCAAGCTTTGGGATCAGCATGTTCAAAGGCCCTGTGTTGGATAATGTGGTATATCCATAGAACTAGAAAAAATCCCATGGTTGGAGTTGAGAGATCAAGAAGGAGCTTGGCAAGATTTGAATCTAGAAAGATGAGTATTAGTTAGATCATTTAAGGTCTTGTATACCAAATTAAGGACTTTGATCTTTCTCCCAAGAGCTGGGAAGTCACTGAAAAGGAGTAACACAAACTTTGACTTTTATTTATTTATTTTTTAACCTCACCTGAGGATATTTTTACATTAATCAGCAGATGGAGCTGGAGGGAGAAAGAGAGAGAGAGGCAGAGAAACATTGACATGAGAGATACATTGACTGGTTGCCTCCCACACGACCCTGATCAGGGCCGGGGACCAAACTGCAACCGAGGTACATGCCTTGACCGGAATTGAACCTGAGACTCTGGTCTACAGGCCAACACTCTAACCATGGAGCCAAACTGGCCACGGCTAAACTTTGAATTTTAAAAAGATCATTTTGGCTATTGTGTGAATTAAAAGGGTAGCAAGAATGGATACAGGGAGATTGCCCTTAAGTGAGGCTTTCTTCTTTTTTCATTTATTTCCTTTTGAGTAAAAAGTTCTCACCTTCGAAATACCTTCTCAAAGTACAAATAGAAAACAAGACAGTCTAACAGAATTTGGTTTCTTTACATTTATAATACTTTAAACATTGAATTAGTAATGTTAATCTTAATGACATTTTTGTTACCTGATCATTTTCTGTAGTGTGTATAACTTCAGTAGTTAAATAATATATTTTAATGAATTAGCTAAGGGAATGTTATTGTTAATATTGGAAATAATTATGTTAAACATTTTTCAAAACATTGTATAATAACATTAAATTGTTTTATGTCAACATTTTACATTTAACATGTTCTGATTAATTTAAAATCTTAAATATCATTAATTGATAAAAAGAAATGCATAAAATTTATAATTTTAAAATTAAATGAAGTTCTACACAGCAAC